AACATTAGTGGTAGTAAACCCAAAATGTTCAACTACGGTTACAAAATGAAAATAAAATTTCTTTTATTTTTTATGCTACGAGACGGAAGATTCTTGCTCTAATCAGGAGGTGTTTTTCTATCCGGTGTTATCTGGTACAGCATAACCACTTTACTATACTTAGACAGCAGTTTTAGGATTATAACAATATTCGTTTAAGAAAAACTGAACGAAATGGATACAGTCTTTGTGACTGCATTACCCATATTATTTCCACTTTAAACGTGGTAAATTATAATTTTTTTTGGAATAAAAAATATTTATGTAGTTTATAATGCGTATTCTAATTAAAATCGACTGAGCTTTCATTTCATCTATGTGTAACACATATCCCGTTACTTAACAGAAATAAATTACTTATGCACAAAAGTATATTATAAAGGATGTCCTGAAATTCACGCACGGGTTGAATTTTGCACCATTTGTGCAAATAATGTTGCCAAAAGAAAAAGACAAAGAGACAGCCTACAGTTCAGGGATACCAAAAAGGGAGCACTACACCAAAGAACACAATTATTTTATTGTTGAGCAATATTTACTGTTGAGTTATTCCATGGTCATGTAATTTCTCGTTTTGGGGACCATAATTGGCCGCCCAGATCACGCAAATTATTTTTTTAATGGTACAACGTTTATGCTAACAAGCCCATAACCATCCAAACCTTAAAGTTGTATCAAAGAAATTAAATAACATTTATGCAAAATGGTCACTGAAAACTTCGACAGAAAGTGCGTATGTACCGACAAAATAGTGGAGGCCATTTACCTGTTATATTGATCCATACAATACCATATACTTAATGACTTAAAATAAATTCACTATTTTTTTAATTAAAAACCCGTGCTTTCAATCGAAATTACTTCCTGCGTAAATTTTCGGACACCCTGTAGCAGTTATTTATATTGAGCCCGTGCCTCACGTAAAGATTTCATTATACAAATACATTTAGTTTCATAAATATGATCAACATTTCCTCATAAATGCAAAACATTTCTAGCAACATGAATATATACTTCTCTTTATATACAATACACATATTATACAATGCAAGAGTATTATATATTTTAACACTCTTTTGGGAGATCTAAAATCATTACTTTTGCCAAATAAAGAGATCGTTAAACAAGAGAAAGAAAAATAAATGGTTCCACTGTTATAAACTTGCAGTAGAATCTTTCTCCTAGAAACTTCTCTTTTTTTTTTTTTTGCAGAACACTTCATAATCCTCATGAAATGAACATTATCATAAAGGATTGATCGTTTCACTATCATAAAGAATTGAATGTTTTATTATCATATATAGAAATGAACTTTTCATTAACAAAAAGAATTGAATGTTTTATTATCATTAAAGAATTGAAAGTTTCATTATCATAAAGAGAACGTTTTATAGAAATGTCCAAGCTAAAAGCTGAACGATATATCACTGAGTGAAATAAATAAATTGTCGTTTGCACCATTCCTATTGGGCGATTCATATACGCATCTCAATAGAAACGTATTCCTATTGGTAGCAATCTTTAACTCACTGCTCGATTGCCAGTGAACAAGTAAAAGTGACGTCAGCTTCGACATCTTTATTGTAATGATGAATTGAACGTTCATTATCACAAAGAATTGAAAGTTTCATTATCAAAAAGCATTGAACGTTTCTTATATTATTTGTTTAAGAAAATTATGTTTATAATATTGATTTGGACTCGGCACAAGATTACTTAAAGTTCATTATAAGTAAATTAACTTGCAAATTTAATACAGAACTATGCCAAATGACTTGAATGATTGATTTATAAAAGCTTTATTAACTCAAAAGTTAATTGAAAATAAAATTTTATTTTAGTAAGAAAGAAAAAAAATTGGGGCCGGCTTAAAAAATAATTTTATTACTCGTAAACATAAAGTACCTTAATTTTCATGAATTGAAGATTGTATATGACTATTTTCCAATCTTCAAATCTGAGAATTACGAAATCTGAGAATTATTAAAACATTAAAGGAATATTTAAGGAGCTAAGGTCTTTTTTTTCATGTCGTATGTAATCAGATTTTATATTCTCCATTCTTTAATTATTCTTTGTTTCGGGTAGAAAGATCTACAGAGGTAAATTAAATTAGTTTTTGATTTTTTATAATAATATTAAGCCAGATCCTCCTAACAGTTTAGACATCTTTTATCAATAAAAATAAATAAACTCCTTCATAATACAAAAACGAGGTTTTTGAGAGGTTTTACCGAAACACATCACTTAATTATGGAGGGGATCTGAATATCTAATTATGGATTCAAAGTGTCTGAGACCTTTATTGTATATTTAAAATTCATATTTCGAAACATTCTTGTTAATATTAACCGTAAACGAAGTCTTACAGTCTTAACCGTAAAACGTGCAGTTTTATAAAATATTTCTGTAACCTCCAAAGCTCTGAATATACTCTGCATTTGATTATTCTATGTAACAGCAGCAACTTGCTCTTCGAAAGATGATATTGGAATGTGCAACATGAATAATGACAAAACTACTCGTTGTGAAAAAATAACACGTGCTGAGATTTTAAACAACTTTCTTAACATACCATTAAACAGTTTGAACGTTACAAGTATTTGGGTAAAAAACTGTTAGGGGTTGTTTATATCTAAAGAATATATCTATTAGAATATATCTAAAAATTGTGAACAAAGCAATATTCTTTTTTCTTTATCCCCTCATTCAATCATTGATACTAATAATACTAAAATGGCGAAAAGAATAAATGAACACCTCGCGCCTTTAAAAACAGCATTGTGACAGCAAATAGCATTGTGATTTGAATTTAGAAAAAAAAAAACACACATTAAAGAAACTTATATTGGTTTCGAAGCATAGGATAAGGTGTCCTCTTGAGAACTTAGAAACCTTTCCGCCTCTGAAACCTGGAAAATGTCTATTACTTTTGAAATCCAGGAAAGGTAGATCCATTTCGGTACTTAAATACTTATTCACTTATAAGACATTTAAAGCCTGAAGAGAATAGACATTACTTTTCGGAACCTAAGATATGTCTATCTTGTTGAGAAATCGGAAAATATTTATGCCCATTGAAATCTAGGAAAAGCCTGTCTCTTTTGCAACCTAGGAAATACATATTTCCTTAAGATATTCATAGTCTGACGTGAATAGACATTACTCTTCGGTACCTAGGAGACATCTGTCTTTTTGGGAAACAAGGAAATGCTAGTTCCCTTTTAGAAAAAGCCTGTCTCTTTAGGAACCTAGGAAATATATATCTCCTTGAGACATTCATAGTCTGACGTGACTAGACATTACTCTTTGGTACCTAGAAGATGTCTATCTTGTTGGGAAACTAGGAAATGTTAATCCCCTTCTAGGAAAATCCAGTCTCTTTCGGAACCTAGGAAATATATATCTCCTTGAGACATTCATAGTCTGATGTGAATAGACATTACTCTTCGGTACCTAGGAGACGTCTATCTTGTTGGGAAACTAGGAAATGTTAATCCCCTTCTAGGAAAATCCTGTCTCTTTCGCAACCTAGGAAATATATATCTCCTTGAGACATTCATAGTCTGACGTGAATAGACAGTACTCTTCTGTACCTAGGAGACGTCTATTTTGTTGGGAAACTAGGAAATGTTTATTCCTTTTAAAATCTAGGAAAAACTTATCTCTTTTGAAACGAAGAAAATACATATTCATTTGAGCCATTTGGAGTTTCGAGGAAATAGACATTTCCTTTAAGAATCTTGGAGATATTATACCTATCAGAATTCAAATTCGAAAACTGTTCTGAGTGAAAAGGTTATTAATTATACTTATAATTAATTGAAAATACCAACTGTTATGAGTTCGTTCAGAACGTATCCTTTGCTGTATGGGTTTTTCAGAACGCGCATTATGGGGTCGCATATTAATATTTAAGTGAGTAAAAGAGAAAAATGCATAATTGTATGACGAGGCTTCAATGACTAAGTCGGATTTAAAAAATATAAAGCCTGTTTGAGTGTCAGAGTAAATTACAACAAAAGTGAAAGACGTTTATTAGAAAACACTTTCAAGTTTCACTTGAAAATTAAATTTTTGTGATGTTTTTAATTCCGCTTTCCTTAGTAATACTTCGTTTAAGTTTGATAGCTCTTTTTTTTCCTTGATTTAGTATCCATTTGTTACTCCAAATATGCATATTTAATCTGTTTTAGTTTTGATAAGAATTTCAAAAATAAAAATATTTTAAGACAATTACAAAAAATTATGCAAATGAATAACGGTGTATGAGATATTAAATATGCTCTTAATCGAGTTTTCCTTATTAATACTTCGTTTAATTTTGATACCATTTTCCTTGATTTAAATTTATGATAAATTTAGTACTCCGAATTTATTACTCCAATATTATCAATTTATTACTCCGAATATGCATATTTAATGTGCTTTATTTTATTTTATTTACGAATGTGCTTTATTTTTGACAAGGATTCTAAAAATAATCATATTTCAAGGCAATTACAGAAAAATCTGTAAATGTATAATAAGATGTGAAAAAATAATAATAATGAAAAGTAAAAATATAAAATTTTTTATCTATAATTGGCGCTCGAACTTAACGTAATAAATTTTACTCGATTGATAGTTATTTACTTAATTAATGTTTCTTGATTAATTTCTGATTGGTGAACTTTCAAAAATATCCCATCACTAAATACTTTTAATAGTTTCTTTTTTCATCCATTATCCTCTTTCGTTGAGTGGATTTAAGCTCTAGAACAAAATCAACAGAACTAGATATGTACAACCTAAAACAAAGAACGTGTATAGTTTTTTTTAACTATACAACTTTCTTCTTGATTTTGAATCATTTTTAAACATGGAAATTTATACACATGATATAGGTCACAAAAATGAATTATATAATAATACTCTGGGTTACCTTTACAACTCTTTGGTGATGCATATCAAACTTGCAATCTTCGCCAAGAATATATTTTTCGATTTTTCTAAAATAATACATACTCTTACAGCACAGTTTGAGTTCGTAAAATCATATGTATGTCTTTCAAGTATCAAGAAGACATTTCTTTTTTTTTTTACAATCTAAACTCTTCATAAAACTTTCTGTGGCATATGAAAGCGTTTAAAAATGTCTCACTATTACTTCATGTGTTTAACGTCCGTTACATTTTTATTTTAAAAGTCTTTTTAAGAGAATAGATTTCATTATCAGCATCTGGCAACTAGTTAAGTCTCATGAAGACAGAATCTTTCCATCCTGAAGGTATTCTGAAGACAATCTTCAAGAAAGAATTATTTTGGCTTTGAAGAAGAAAAAAAAATTAAATCTCGACATTGAATTTGCACCTTTTGTTAAAAATGTCAATTGTATTTCGTTCAAAAGAAAGCTGCTTCCTTTAGAACGTGTACCTCCTACATCAGGCTACCGGGTTGACACCGGAGAAGCCGTCAAATGGCCCAGAAACTCGGTTTTGGTTTGCTAAACCGGTTCTAGAGAGCGAAGAATTGCTGCCCGTGTTGCAGTTGACATCAACGCAGACTTGATCAGCCATGTTGCCAAGGTAACGTCCAGATGTTCGGCTGTTCGATTCCCCAGCCATCTGCCTGACCAACTCACTTGGATCCAGAGATAGATTTGACTTTTGCTTGGTGTTGGCTTTCATTTTGTTAACATTCTCGCCAATACTTGGAGCCAAAGGGAGATCATCGATCGACCTTATACTTTCCGTTCGAACTGATGGTTTATGTGATCCACTACCACTAATAGATCCGTTGGGCTGATATTTTCTATTGGCATCAACACGATCACCTTTACGGTCTTCGTTGGGAGCCTGCAAATGGAAAAGTGTGTTTTATAACTACTATATACATACATAGTACAGTACAGAACCCGTTATCCGGAAATCAGAAAACCGGAAAACCAAAAAACCGGAACGAAATTCGATAAATTTTCCCGCCATTTTAAAATTTTTTTTTTTCCTTATAAGATTTTAGGATTTTTCTTTCTTTTTTGAAAGATGTTCACCTTACCATCATTTTGGAAATAATCATTAGTGTATTACTTCATCGTTTTTTCTTCTTTTTAAGATTATTTCTAAATATTTTTGTTCTTTTAGTTGGGTTTAACAATAAAAAAACGGCTTTTTGTAGCGATTCAGAAAACCGGAAAAATCAGTTATCCGGAATAGCGATGGTCCCGATCGTTCC